TCTCCTTCTATTTCTTTGTCTCTCTCTCTCACTCCCCCTCACTCCCATATCTTTATTTCTTTTTATCTTATCTTCTCTTGTATTTCATTATTTTTTGACTTTATCAATTTTAATAATATTATTAAAATTTGTTTTTTTTATAATTTAATAATATTCATTAATACTTTTTAATTAATTAATTTATTTGAATGAAATGAAATATATATTCTTATCCTTCTTAATTATTATGTCACATTTTTTTTGTTCAATTCTTTATTTAAATAACTTTAACTAAAATTTTAAAAATAATTAATGTCACATTTATGATAAGATTTAAATAAATAAACATATATAATAAATTTATTTCAATAAAAGATATTTTTACAAAGTATTTATATTCCCAGAAAATCTATAATTCCTAAAAATCCTATATAAATATTCTCATAAATTTTTATAAATTATCAAACATTTTTTAACTATTCCATGGATCATAATTCTCAAAAGTTGTAATTCTCATAAATGATAATTAAAAAAGTAACATCTACAAGATTTAGCATAATTTGTTCCCCTATGGTGATTACTGGGTACACAAGAATAAGATAAATTCAATGTTAACATTTGTATAACCATTTTATGGCAATACAGCAATACCAACTAACCATTAAAATAAATATCTTTTTATCTTGGTTTGACGAGAATCTCAGCCATCTGCATGACTGCATCGAAATGAATCATGGCAACACAGACCGACAGCAAATCATTTATCATGAGAACTTGAGAAACTATTTCACATCAATCCATCAAAATTATTCCCACGACAAAAAACCCTAAAAACAAAATAACATTTATCTACATAGAGAATGATCAGATCATCACACCCACGCATAGTTTTCTCCAAAGTATACTTGCCATTCACCTGAAAATTTTCTAAGAAAAAGACACTGATTTTAATAATTGTTTCTCTTAATAAGATAACACTTTCCTTGGATGCAATGTCATTACCTATAGGTATTACAGACCAACGCCCTATACAGAATCTACAACCACCTCACCCTGCTGCTTTGCGAGATATCTTTCCCTCCTCTCTTTCTGAAAACAAAATCATAGATTATTAATAGATGAAGCATTTGCCAAAAGTAGCATTGCAAGGAAAACTTGTAATCAAAAGCCAAGTAGACACCGACCCATTCATCTATGACGAGCCCTTCCCCGATAATTTTAGGACCTGCATCTTCGGCAGGTTTCTTGCGCGCCTCAAGGGCAGCATCAGCATCAGCCAGCTGTCGGTTCAGTTTCTCTAAAGCCTTACGGAGCAAAAGATAGACCATTGTTAGTATGCAATCATATAATGCATTATATGCAGACATCTGATAAACACCATATCTGATACTGAATGTCTCAACCACAGTAAAGCAGAGGATATATAAACAAATAAGTGCATAAAGAGAGAAGAGAAAGGAAAAAAGAAGCTTGTAACCAGTACCAACAATTGCTAAAAATACAAATGGATACCGAAAAACTCAGAGAACTCACAGGACTAGGACGCTCTGGATCTAGAAAAATAACTCGCAAAATCTGCTCCACTGCTACTTGGTCCTTCTGCTCTTCAAACTGTATCCAAAGGAGAGAAAAAAAATGCATTTAAAAACAAAGATAAATAAGATCCCATAATGTGCAAGATATCTTCATATCAAGCAGAGAAATGGAAACACTTGAGGGACTGAAATGAAATGTACAGCGAAGCATATACTACAGAACTCAAATTTTGATTGTGCACAATATTGTGAAATGCTCGAGAGAGACAGAGAATCATCCAAAAGAAAGTGAACCTTCGATTGTTGATCATAATAAAAGTCTTAAGTCCTTATACTATGCACATTAATCTACTAAATTAATCTATTGAAAAGCTACAAAGATTTTAATGGTTAAAATGACAAAACCTACATGCATAGAGTAAACAACAAAAACCAAAGAAAATACATCCGTGTTAATCAATTGTAACTAAACTCAAGGAACAAAATATTTACGACTGTAGAATAAATACGCATATTATATGTGCATGTGTATGATAGGTAATTTGAGATATACAGTAGCAAGATAGTTAGATGCCCATGTCATAGAAGACTGAAGAGGCAGGAATAGAAAGGGGAAAGCAGGCAAAACAACAGTAATAACAAAAATAAAACCAACATAAGCAATATCTTATTCATGACAATTGTAAGTTTGTAGCCAAAATAAAATTAACTGACCAGTTCAGGAACGTAATCAATTGATCCTTTCACCTTCAAGCTCATGATTTTAAATTTGAGTCCAGTTTTTTCAGGCTTTTCATTATTTTCTGGTACCTCTACAAACTTGAACACTAGCAAACAAAATACAAATCAGTGAGATAACTAGACCTTGTATTGATGACAATCTATTGTCGCAAACAAAAAGGAACATAGACAGAAATCAAACTGTTTACCTGTTGCTATGATACTCTCACCAGGTGCAAGGATAGCCCCAGGAGGACGCATGAAACAGCTTTTGGGTGCAGTTGTTTGAAACTAAACATGCATATATAAATATCAAATGATAAACAAAGAAATCTTGTAAGAATAGATAGTCTAATTCCAATACTGATTAAGAATAGGTGATGATCTCAATAAGTTATAAAGCAATAAATTAATGATTTTCCTGCATAACTGTGACATGGTAACAGCAAGAATACACAGTTGAGTTTAAGACTCGATGAAAGTAAGTCAACAACAAAATTGCTGATGTATAAAAGAAAATTATAAACACAGGAATAAATAAAACGATGACATGTTTCACCATACCTTGAAAGCTACATGAGATTTGCTGGTGTTTTTGATCCTGATGGCACTCCTAACCTGTTTGCCTGGCTCATCTACATAAGAGTGTAAAGAAATGAGAGAAGTCATAAAACACAAGCATAAGCAAATAAAAAATCATATGGAACATTAGAATTAAAAAAATTATTAAATGGAAGATAAAAACAATGCCTACAGTATAAATGAACTCAGAACTATTGATGAACACACATGGATATCTGAGACTGTCTGTATATGTATTACTGCACTCACAAGTGGAGGCACAGAGAAAGGCAAGAGAGACAAAGTGAACACGTATTTCTGTCTTATTTGTCATGTATCTCTGTTATATGACCTAATACTTTCAAAATTTATGGTTGCCACGCCATTAACACTTTCTACTACATGAACCATTGCAACTTATGATTGGTATCACAGCCACGCAAAATTTAATGAATATGTCATCTACCATGCAAAAGTATCTTTTTTCTCAAAAGGCCAATGTTTGGTAATTCCATAGCGACACTTGGTAACTTCCACCACATGCAAATTAAGATATTATTGCTACCATTCAAAGTCAAATGCTTAAACCTTGTATGAATAAACTTTTCCATAAACGCTGGTAGGAAAAGAAAAATAAGAAGGTAAAATGAATTGAGTTTCTCTCAAAAGTTAAAGTCAACATATTTTACAGAGAAAATGTAAACTTTTGAAGAAGTTAGATGAGAGAGTGTTTATAAAAGCTAAGTGTATAAATTGATTTTAACTTATGGGAGAAACTCAAATCATTTTACATTCTTATATTCCTCCACTATAAGTGTTTATATAAAACTTTATAAAACCAGAGCCTTAATACAGGGAAAATGCAGAAGTATAGAAGCATGTAATTAATAAGTAATTAATATGGAGAAAATAATTCATCTCTAGCATTTATCCCATACAAATTGTCCATACCCATGTTATTTTAAAGACGCGAAATCAAGATGAACACTTCTTTGGCCAGACAGGCCTATTGTACTATGAACAACCTCCAGATCATATTAAGGGAAATGATTTAAATACAATAAGTGACAAAAAATTGAAATGCAGGGGAAACAAAGTTCTCTTTTCTTGCTTTCATAAGGATATTCAACAACAGTGTGTAAACAAAACCAATGTCATGTTTTGTGGGAACGATTGTTTTGCACATCCGTTCCAACTAAACATTTACAGTTTCCATCTCTAGAATGCTAAAATCCACTTGAAATAACTATAATCAGAAAACAACAACAGCAGAGCTAAAAATATTGAATAATTAGCTTCATTCTAATTGAATAATTCTAAATACCCCATATAACATCCTCCTACTAGTCCTCATACTTCCCTTATTCGATGATTTTTTTTTTGTTACAAAAAGTTTAGATTAAGACAAGGCACGACCCCATGCAAGTCAGAATCAACCACCAAACTCTTTGAATATTTCTAGCTAGATTATGGATCGCCTACCCCATCCATAGCACAAGTTTGCATGAAAGGATATAAAACACAAGAGAAACCAGATTCAATCTCAGGTTCTAGCTAGTAGGAGCAAAGGGACCTAACTAGCTGTGCTACCCTCACGAGCCCCCTTATACAATGAATATTAAATACGTTTATAGGACCTCTTTGAATAAATTTTAAATAAAACATTTATATGAGAAGAAAAAATGAAATAAACTTCTCCAAAAACTAAAATTAGTTTATACATAAACTAATTAGTAAAAAATGACTCATATTAACTTCGCCAGAATATTTTTTTTAATTTATTTATAAACTAATTTTAGCTTATAGAGCAACTCATTTCTTTTAAATTTTATTTTTTTCTTATTTTCTTCTCCTAGAATCGTATTTTCATGATATTAAATGCATTTACTTTCTAATTAAATACTTAACTTATAAGGTAAGAGGAGGATTTGCAAGAGGATATAGCATTACTCTTCCTAACTTGCTATACCAAAACCTTGAGGTTGAGCTCGTTTTCAATTTTGGAAAGACTTGGACCATGATTATCAAGGCACAGTTACCTTCCAAACGAATAATCAAAGAAAGGAAAGTGCAGCAATAAAAAATACAAGCCCTCTTTACCGAAACCGATAGCTATTAGGTTCTATTTATGGAAGAGTGGAATTAAAGGCTTAAAGTAGCCTTATTAAATTGCAATTAAAATTAGTAAACAGAAATTAAAGTGAGATCAGAATAAAAGCAGTTATTGCATGCAAGCATGAACAGGCACATAGCTAAATAAATAAAATTGGAGAGGGAAGGAGAAGGTATACAAGGGAAGTAAAGCTTGTTGGAGGGATCAAGCTTGAGACGACGTCGTGTTGGGAGAAGCGATCTCGCAACGGAAGAAACGGAATTCGAGGTGTGGGAAGTGGAACCCTCGAGAGGAAGATTGTGAGGGTTGTGGTGATGGTGGTGGTGGTGGTGGTGGTGGTGGTGGTGAAGGTTAGCGGAAGACGAAGACGACGTCGTGTTGGTGGAATGGCGGAAGGGAAGCTTGAAGAAGTTCCAGACCTTAGGTTCGGAGTGAGGCTTGGGTTCAGCTACGGCCATGCTCTCTCTTCTCCGGTTCGCGAAGGAGGAAGCAAATAAGTGAGGAAGAAATAGAAAGCGAGCGAGCCTTGACTTTTACTTCGCGGATCACACTTTCCAAACGTCGTCGTTTACTCTGTCTTCTTTTCGCAAATTCTATAAGTGCTGCAGACGCGGATGTGAGGGGGGTTATGAATTGCGATGGAGAAGGGTGTTTCGCGTCCACGCGTTTTTTCCTTTTTTTTTTTGTTTCTTTAACCGTTTGCTTAGTGCAATCACTGGGAAATGTGAACGCAAAGTCGCGGTGATGTGCGAGGAAACCATGGATTAGTGGGGTCCCTTTCAAGTTTCAAGTAACTAGTAACTAGTGTCTATTACACGTTAAGCCGTTGACTTCTCCGTCAATTTCTTCTACCTTCTTAGATCATTTTCCCACTTTTAGCTCTTTGTTTTTACTCATTAAAATAACAAACTTAATTCATAAGGATAATTAGAAACCATTTTAAATTATATAAAAATTTAAATTTTCGAGGAAAATTGAATCAACTCCTGAATTTAACAAATAGGAAGAACAAAAAATATATATATATACAGGGGCGCCGTCTTTTACAATTTTTTTCAAAAGTGTTGAATATACCATTTTAAGATATTTTTCTTTCCTTTGTTTGGGATATAAATATAAATATATGAATGAATATATTAATGACGTGGATGTGAACGTTGTGGATGTGAGATATTAGCAGTCCTATCCTTAGGGCTAAATCAATTGGCGCTTTCATCGTATTCTATTCTTTTAGTAATGATTATTATTAGCATACATGCTGTGATTTTCGACCTAATATAACATAAGAAAGAATATGAATAATTGGACTAACAACGAGGGATTTTGGTAATTTGTGTAAAGCTATATGTCTTAACGGATGGAAAATAAGAAAACAAAATACGTTGTTTGGTGTATATGCAAAAAATTATTTGTCGCAACATCAAATTTAATCCATTACGTGTAACACTTTTAGAAAAATTAAGGTAAAAAAAGAAAAAGAAAAAAAATAATAAGTGTTATCTTAGTGGAAAAGGAATTAAAAGAGTACATAAAAGAAAAGGTAATTGAAAAAAGTGGCAATCCTTTTTATAAGCTAAGATATCAACAAGAAGGTACAAATCTTCATTAGCATCAGTATATTGGATACAAGTTTCTAAGAGTTTATTTATTAACATATCATTAGCATTAGTATATTGGATACAAGTTTGTAAGAGTTTATTTATTAACCTATACAATTTGATTTTTATCTTAATGGTAAATTATTATTCCTATAAGGTAAACCCTTAAATAAACTTATCAATAAAGTCATATTTTGATGTAACTAAAGTTAAACCTTTAAAAATGTCTTAATAACTAGATAGAATATACTTAGACCATATATTTTTAATCAATATCAAGTCGACTTAACAAAATTTAAGTCTATATTTTAACCTATTTTCATTTATAATTGTGGGCGATTCTTCCTCTTCCAATAATTGTTTATTTATTTTTAGTTTCATCAAATTGAATGCCATTCCATCCTTTCTCCTCCTTCTATGATTCTGCCTTGAAAAAAAAAAAAACAGTTGAACGGTGTTCCAACCATAAAACAAACTTTAAGCATTTTTTAATTCATTTGTGTCTAGTTTTAAGAACGTGGGCCTGGCCCAGTTCATGATTCCTTACTTTGTGTGTTTTTGCTACTGTTTGCAATGCTGGGCTCGACTCAGTCCTAAAGAAATATGACTTCTTGTTTTCTCACTTTAATTGATTATTATTCAGCCTTGATGTCTACCATTTTACAAGAACACAAAATATGGCCCAAAACCACTTTTAAATACTAAATTATTAACTTAATTGAGTTAAATGTTTGGTAACGGTAAAATACTTAAAACACAAATAAAAATAATGATAAATAAAACAATTAACGTTAACTAATTCTTCTTAAGTTGTTAAAAAATGACTGATATTTGTTAAGTTGTTAAATGTTAAAAATAGAATAATTTCAAACATGACTCAAGTATTTCAAGTCAGGAAAAAATAAATGATCAGTAATTGTTAATGTCACATAGATAAGACTCATGTAAAAACCTTAATTAATTTGTTATAGGCAATTTGACATGTATTTGTATTAGATTCATTGAATATTAGAAAAATAAATCTATATATAAGACTTTGTAATTTACTTTTCATTGTTGAAGCATATTAAACGTCTCATACATCAATGTGTATTAATTTATTCAAACAAGTTAAGTGTGTTTTCAACCATTTTTAAATTAAAGTCGTTAATATTTCTACAAAGTTTATCTTACTTTTTGATTTACATTTAAAATTGTGTGCTTTACAAAGAACTTTATCTGATTTTCATTTCCATTCTTGTTTTCATTTTCAGTCATTTTTACTCTTGCATTTCACTTTGATTTCAATTAACATCTTAATCAACTTTCAATTGCATCTATCTCTTTCTTGTCTTCTCCATTTCTCTTCATATCTATGCAATTTAATTTTACAGGTTTTTTAATTTTCCATTATTGTTTTCTGAATTTACTTTCAAGTTTATTTATATTATGAACTTTTTATTATAATTCAGTTTTTTGCAGTTTTAAAATATTTTCTTTAAATTATTTTCAATTTAATTGTTTTTTTTTTTAACTTTTGCATTTGTTTTTTTTTTTTAGGTTTCTTTTATACTTTTGTAAGCATAAGGTATAGAACAGCAAATTACATGATGAAAGTTAAAAGTACTGTGCTCACAACCCAAATTCATACACGTTGAGCATAAGATTTTGATCCATACATGTTGAATGTTGTTGGATTACTAAATTCAAGTAGATTTTGATTCTAAATCTCCATTACTATCATTTAAAATTAAATACTTATGCACCGATTTCAAGTTCAACTCAAATCGTAAACCTTAAAAAATTGAAACAAATTTTATCATCAATGATTAAGTAATGTTTTAATTTCTATTAAAGAAATACAAAACTATTTCAAGAATAACGTAATCTCAAATTTCTCTGTATACGAAGAGATATAAGAGCAAAGTTAACTTTGTGGAGTTCAAATTTTTTATATAAAATTAGTACTTTAACATGTGTAATGTATAAGATAAAATTTTATTTTATATAACTAAAAAATCATAATAAATAAACATTTTAAATATATAAAATTAAAATTTATAATAAATGAGTATTTTTATCAAATACATTGTATTTTATATATATGTGATAAATAATTTATATTTTAATAAAAACATTTTAACTATTTATATTTAAAATATCATGATTTAATTTATAAATAAAAATAAAATTATAAATTAAAAGAGATAAAAAAAAAAGTTAAAATAATTATAAAACACAACATTAAAAAATAAATACGATTTTTTTTCAAAAAAAGTTATTCTAATTTATGTATAAAATGTTCTCCTTTTACAGAATCGGGTTGCTAAAAAAATAGACATAGGTTTGAACTTTAACATATTATCATGTTTAAATAAATAAAACAAATCTTGGGTGAGAATCTCCGTACATGACTAAATTATTATTTGACTTCACATCTTTGTTGATACAAGGTTTCGACGTTAACTTGAGTTCCTACGCATGTTTACATCACATTAGAAGAAAAATAACGAAGCAAGTAAATTAGAAGAAAACGACAATTATTTAATAATAATTTAGTGTAATTATTAATATTTTGATAAGCATCATTCCAGAGATGTGCTGAATTTGGCTAATCCAGTGACGTTGTCTTACTGTTGCACTTCTTGTTTGAGGACACGTCTCTGGCGACTGCAATACGCAAACTGTAACATTGGAGATCGATATCTATTAAAAATACTCAAATATTCATCTCCTAATTTTTTTAAGGTAATATTCATATCCTACTTAGTAAAATTAATTACATTTTAAAACTTAGACATAATTAGTCCTTCATCATGGTATAGGTGCAAACTTTTTCTGACTGCCAAACTCAATTTCTCTTTTTTATGCTGCTATCTTTCTCTTTCATTTTTGTCATCTCTAGCTAGTTTACATTGATTATGTTCTCATATTAATAGATTAAAAATATGTTGAAAATAAGAGTCATGAATTTAAAGTATAGCAAAAATTTGAGATAACTAAAACAAGTCATTTAAAATGAAAAGCTTACACTATTCTTAGACATGAATCGATCCAAGGTAATAATTGAAAGCACATTATTGAAAATTTTGTTATAAGGGCTAAGTTAAGGGAATTCTAATGAAATTTAACACTGAATTACCATCAACATGTCAACAAACTAAAGATACAAGAGATATATAGTGTATATAGTATCTGGATGAGGCCTACCATCATGGGCCCAAGTACTACTGAAACATGAAAGCAATAATAGAGTTTGAGTAGTTGATCAGTCCGCAGGGTAGTGACTCAACCTGTTGGGTTGGCCTTCCTTGTGCTTGGGCCTAGCTACTTCTAGAGGACCCATTGTTCCACTAAAAACAACAAATTATGATTAAACTTAACCAAAAGTAGGAATGACAATGGGATAAGATAAGTATGAGTTTCATTATTCTCATTCATGTCTTAATTCTTATATCTTATACTCGTTCTTATCTCCATATTCGATAGATATGAAATTTATATTATCATTTTCGTCATTATCGGATATCAAGTATATTTATACTCTTATACTCGTTAAAAATTAATTAAATATTTTTTAAAAAAAATATAAAATAGTAATTATAAAATTATATTAGGTAAGTTTCATTTAACATAAATTTAAAATAGAATAAGAATTATATAAATGTTAAGTAATTTTTTTAAAAAAAATAAATTAAGTTTTTAGAAATTTAAAACAATATGGATATAAGACAGCATATTCATACTCATACTTAGACAAACTAGATATTCTCCGTCAATATTGGGGTGGATTCAAGTATTATCCATGGTACATATTTACTTATATATAAAAAAGGGTAACATAAAAAAGGGGTGATTTCTCAAATACATTCTTTCACACATTTGAGAATTATCATGAGTTAAATCTAAGGTTAATTATTCATAAAATTAAATCTTGGATGTTTTCTTATGACATTTGTCCTTTTTTAATGTATTCTAAAATTTATTGAGATTTCATAACAAAATCAATATATATTGGAAGGGAAAATGGGACAAGGTACAAATATTTACATTTGTGATGGAAAATTGATG